CTAATGCTCATGTTACAGAGAACCTAGAGATCCCAAATGAGATTGGGATCCCACTAGGCTAGATGGGAGTCTAAAACCAGGTTAAGAAAGGAGGGTTTGAAGTTTTATGGGGTGAGACAGGAAAAAAGGGCTAGAGAAAGGAAGACAGAGAAATGGTGTTCAAGCAGGACAGTCAGAAGCTGGCCCCACTCTCTGAATTTACTTGCCTACCTGAAGAAATGCCATTGAGACTTTTAGTAGAGGTTTTAGTTCTTTGTGTGGCTGACTGAAAGATATGTATTTTCCCTTCAGAATAAGCTGTAAGAACATCGTGTGGCTTTTTCTGTGTCCTGTGTCTCTCTGCTTCTCTGATTTTAAATGTCATATTAAAAAAACCTAACCAATAAATTTCAAACAACCGCAGTAGCACCAGTCCTGCCTCTGTCTTCCTAATGCTTTCATGTCTCTTTGATACAGTTTAAAACAAACAAGCAGGCAAATAAAAAAGCTTCTCAAATAAGTGAGGTAGCGAATTAAATATTCTACAAAAAGGCTATGAGGCCAGATCAAAAGCCTGTGAACTAGACTGGAATCTTCCCATTGATGTTAACAGTGTTTGGATCAGGCCATAGATTAGTGCTGTTACTGAAATTTCTCTTTGAGCAATTGGCAGCTGGATGTATAAAGAATAGGACAATATTACAGAATGGGAGGAGGGAAGTGTACCTCACTAATATTTGTGAAAAATTTTGCTAGTGCTTTGATATATTTTCCTTTACTGAGTAACTGAAATAGATTCAATCATTTTTCTTCTGAAGGTAAAATGCAATTAGACTATTGTGGAGATTTCCTGGTGATTTGATCAAACATATCAAACTTTACCTGAAAGTATGAGGCTATGATGGTTTTGTCTTTCAGTGGGCCCACTTAACTTCAACTTTAATTATTTCATTAAGAGGCTTGGTTTTGCTTACACAGAAGCCAAGGTAATCTTTACTATTGACCATAGTAGGGTCAGAGGTAGTCCGCTGATAAGAGTCTGCAATAGATCCGAAACCTACACACATGCATGTGTATACATATATATTTGTATACACCCATGAATGTATATACCATAAGAAGGCTGAATAAACATGTATGCACATACATATGGTGAAAGAAGTCACATATATATTATATATTTTGATTTTCTCAGTTAAACATAGAATACATAAGCATGCATTGATTGACTGTTCTGAAGTATGCTAAAGGATACATATAATAAAATTATGTGTAATTCAGAGCTCTTAATATGCAATTGATGCAAATAATCTCAAGCAATTTGGCATAGATTTTACTTTATACATACTGAGCTCTGTTTTTCTTTGTTGTGTAATTTTGACCTATGACCTAAAAGGTGGTGGAATAAATAGCTTTTTTAAAAAGTTAACTAATATAATTCATTTGGGGAAAAAACTTTTTTCCATGCCTCTTAACTTCTCTGAGGAGCTCTTATTTGAGAGAACAATATTCTTTTCCTGTGCACCTATTGCCTTTATTTCACCTTTTACCTGATCTGATGCATATTTTATTACACCTCAGGATGGAGTATTAGTTAAATTGACCACGATAATCCAGATTAATCTTCATGGAAGTAGGTGAAAGTTGCACTTCATGCAAGGAAGGAAACATGAGGTGGAAAAACCTGTGAATGTTTAGTGACACCAAAGGTGCCCACTGTTATGTTGTTAACAATTTGGATGCCTCTGTCTGCTGGTGGGACTCTTCTACTGGCCAGAGCAATGCTTCTGGAGGTTCTCCATGGGAGTTGCAGCCAGATGGGACCACAGCTGTTAAACTGCAGCAACAGCCTAGGAGGATTACGCTGGGAAGAGGCTAATTACAGGGTGCGTGTTGTGGAACCGGCTCTTTGAAAGTGGAGTCCACCCCTGGGTGTGTGATGCCTTGCAACACTGACTTACGGTCACCTATACTATTTCCCAGAACTGAACAATGTGTGGAATAAGCTGTGCTTAAATGCTCTATATTGTGTACCTCGTGTAGGTCTGAAAGCTGGAAATCAGTAGCTGCTGCTCTTCTATACTGGTGAAATTAGTTGGATAAAACTAATATAGGACAGATAGCTCACAGTAGGCTGGATTTGGGGTAAATCAAAGCAAAATGTCAATTGGTATGTAATGAAGAGTTAGGCATTCAGGCTAATTTACAGTAGTAATGCTACATGTAATGGAAAATATTTCCAGCCTTTTTAATGGTGATCATGTCTTGTGCCTTGCAGAAATCCCCAGAAGATAGGATTAATTTCTTCTATGAAATCCAATAAATGGTCTACATCAACTGAATATATTAAAGAAAATGAAGTATTAAAAAAAAAGGTGGGAACTGTAAAATCATCATGAACACTTGACACTAACTGAATCAGTCCAGATCAAAATTAATGAGGCAGGAGGGGTAGAGCTAGACAATCTGTAACATCCTGGCATACTGAGAGGTTGTGACAAATGCATCCTCAGGTTTCTTACTATAAACAAGGCAGTATTAATGACACCAGGGTTTTGAATAATAGATTCTAAGAAGTCTATCTTGAGGTTAGAGTGATGTTATCTAAGACATGTTAAAAAATGGAATAGCCTCAAAGGAACAAGAAATGAGTTTATAGATATTTCAAAGAGACTAAAACCACAAACACTATATTAGGGTTTAAAAATATCATTTGCTTGCTTTTGCCTTATTTGCAGCACAGGCTAGACAGATACAGGATATATACCTTACAAGCCATTGAAGCTACACATTGAAAGTCTGACTGTATACTGGCAGTCTGACAAAATACTTTGGAACAGATATCTTCTTGGGACTGTATTTAAAATATCCTGATATAACATCCAAAATTCCCTAAGAAGATGATAAATTCTAGCGGCCTGTACATACAGAAATTCACAATCCCAAAGCCGATGTGTTAGCTCCTCATATATGGTCTGAGAAAGAAACATGAGAAATACTAGTATTGATGGAATGTAATCTTCAAGTCTGGTTGCAGGGAGATCGAATCCTGAAAGGAATTACAAGTGTTGCATGACTGTGGGCTGTAAGAAAGTTACCAAAGGCCTTGCACATGAACAGAGGGTGGAGATCACCTCTCTCCTCTGATCTTCAGCAAAAAAATCCAGAGCAACACTCAGGAGCTATCTGAAGATGCCTTATTTTGACATTTCTCTTCAGTCAGGACCATTGTAAGGGTCCTGACTGGGCTGCTGTCTTCTCCTATGGCAGAACCCTTGTAATGGGCTTGTTCCTTCTAAAGGAATCCCCTCCTGAGGGTCTGTCATGGGCAGTTCATGAGAAAACTGTCTTGCAAATCCTGACAGCCTTTGCAGCCATGTGGGCAGCCCCACCCCTTGGGCAGCAGATACCTTCCCCAGGAAACATGGTGGCAAGGCAGTGAAATGGTTGGAAGTAGATGTGGGTGTACTGGGGTGGCTGGGCTGGTTGCCAACCCCCATCCCAAGATATGTGGAGTATTTTGCTGTTGCAAAACTGTTCCTGTGCTAGATTTGAGACTGTGTGTTTATATGTTATTTGCCACAAGAACCCTATCTGGTCTGTGATACAAGTAGCTTTTGACATTTCTGAGTAAACTGTTTAAATTATCTGTCGGCAGACATTCAAAATGAATCTGTCTAATTAGAGAGCCTTTGTTTATGTTAAGAGAGAACTTAATGAATCCTTATGGACAAATCTGAGTGTAATTACACAGTGTGCTTGCTGCTCTCACAAGCTACTTCCCAGTCTGCTTGGGACTGGGGCCTCCTGCTGCATTCACGTTTTTGTCAGATGACTTCACTTCTGCTCAAGAAACATGCTGAGCCCTCACTGGGAAGCAGACTGGGCTATAACTCTCGAGTGCCTTTAGTGAGTGGAAACACAGTCCCAGGGACAGCCCCATGGGAATAATGCTGAATAAAGAATTAAGAATATAAAACAAAGCAAAACAGATTTCTGTGAACTTTATCCAGAATCCTCTTGGTGTTTGCATAAACCCTTGAGACATCTCCTTGTTGTAGCTGTATGTTCTTCTGTTGCTGATGGTCCTGCCCCAAATACAATCTTGAGGTGCCCCATCCCATCCACATGAGCCAGACCTGGGCAAGGGAGCCTCTTGCATGCCTTCCTCCTGGATAAGGTGCTGCTCTAGCTATAGCCTCTGCTCAAGTAGGAGGCAATGGCAGGTCTCTTGCCTCTTATTTAATAGCCTAGCAGACAAAGCAGGAAGGAGAAGACCTGGGTACAGTGCCACTGCCAACCTCAGGGGATGAAAGCTGCTCCATCTGACCTGCTAGGGAAGTATGCTAGTGAGCAGGCACAAGCATCTCCCAGCCTCCCCCAGCGAGAGTTGTGCGGCTGCTTGAGACTGCAAAGGGAGTGGGTGGGCAAGACCAAAGCTTTGCTTTCTGGTTTTGCCACCATTTTTTTTGTTCAGAGAGTAATTACTGAAGGCACGATAAAGCCGGTCACTGGAAATTAAACTCAGTTTCCTGGCTTGGAGTCTTCTGACCTAACCATAAACTTGCACTTTTTCAGTAAGCAAGAACAAGGAAATGATGAAAGGGCAATGGGGAAAAAAAAAAAATACATGCAACTGGTGTTCCCTGGAAAGGGGGGCTGGGCAGCATGCCCTCAGCAGGTCAGGCCAGTGCTTCAGTCTGTGAATATTGGAATGAGGTTGAGCATAAACTGCCATTAGTTTTAAATGAACAGCAGAAGGATGACAAATAAAATACATCGCAGCAAGGAGAAAACAAACAAACTAGATGCAGAATTTTATTTAAAGGCTGAATTAGGTATTGTAACTTCAAGCCGATGTGTGTTAGAGTAAATATTGAAATGACCTCCTGAATCCTGCCTTACAATAGGTACACAAAAATGAGTTATGTTGTTTTAAATATTCTTTTTGCTTTATACCTTCCAGGGTCTCCTTTCAACCTATTTCTTAATTAGCATATTCCTCCTGAACTGAAGAATAAATGGGATCTGAAATGAATTTAATAGGACATCACCAGCTAGCCACTGCTGATGGATTTTCTCTTGCTGAAGGTCCTCATTTGTTTGGTAAGTCACCAAATTAGGTTAAAATAGCAAACTATCCTTTACTTGGGAACTTAGAAGAGAATACACTGAAATCTCAAGTCAAGGATGTGTGGTTGACATGTGCCAACCTTCTTGACTCTTCAATACCTACAGAAGGAATAACAAATTATGGGTCTGTGGTGTTAATGTAATCCTGCACACTATTGCTCACATTGCTGCTCATAGTAGAGCTATGTTGTTTTTATAACACTATTCTAATACCTGGAATCATTCAGCAAAGACAGACCTTGGTATGTAGGCTGGATGTTATCTTCATGTGAGTCATTTAAATCAAGATGAGCAGATTATTTTCAGTTAATTTGTAATAAAATGATACTGCAATGTATTTGCATTGCCATGTTATGCAAATTTGTGAAAGTAATTTCACCTAAATTAAAACCATTTTCTTATTGAGACCACTAAAAACTTATGCTATCAACTTCAACGCACAAGAAAATTTATAATGCAGGCTGCAAAATTCTCCTTGCTCCAGTTCCACTGAATTTTTCAAGGCTAAGCATGGTTTTGCTAATGAATGAAGAATTCTTGGTCAATATTTTATAAGCATGGGGAAGCTGTCTTCTGTTATATGTACTGCTAAGAAAAAAAAAAGAATAATACATTTTTTAGCCTCTCTTTTGGCAGCAGAGAGGGACCTTCATTGAGTAACATGATACATTCAGGGCCCCCCACACAATACAGACCCCCACAGAAAGCTTCAAGACTTCAGAACTTTCCAGTCCAAATAAGACCAGAATTCTGCCTTTTTGAGTGCTGGAAGAATTGAACACATTTCAGTTTCAGCTATCTGAAACAAGAATAGTGGCTTGGGCATGGGGGAACTCCAACACGCGGAGCCACTCCTGCTTGCCGAGCTCTTAAAAATCTCTCCAAATCAGACTGCTTCCAGTGTCCTGGCTCCATACAGCTAAGCTAAAGCACTGTCACTAATGATAAGAAAAACCCATTGCATTACTGTGTGTTATTGTTTTTTTCCCTAAATGTTTTGGGGTTTGGTGGGAGAAATGTTTTTGCAGTTGTTAAAATGTATATGCAATAGCTAAAACACTTCCTTGCTACCTGTTAATTCCAATGTCAGGCCATGATATACAAAGAGGAGGAGGATGTCAAATGTAGGGTGCCAAGTTTTATATCCAGTCATCCTTTTAGAATTCCTGCATAGTTGAACTACTTAAGAATTTTGTCAAGAAGATTTGACTTTTTCACTAATTATTTTATAAATTTTAAAGAGTAGCTTTGGGTAGCTTCAAAATAAAAGGAAGCATGTTAATGTAAAATACCTTCCCTCCACACTGAAATCTTACTCATAAGTTGAGGTCTTCAGAAGAGGGATTGTCTCCCATTATAGGTATTCAGAGCTTAGCACAATGGAGGTTTAATTCAAACTGACATTTCTGTAACAGAAAGAAATAATGTATTAAGGGGTTGAGTCAGGGGTCCCATTAGGAAGGAGACTTAGCACTCCTGCTGTGTTTCATTTAAGCTGATTTCTGTGTGGTCACTTGGTCCTGTTTTGAAGGATGTCACTTAAGTCTCAGAAGTTAATTCTTTACAAATCTGTTGTCTTTTGCTTTTATAGCTGGAAAAAACCATCAGAAATAATATGTAGCTGAGTCCACAGAGAAAGCTACTCATTGTGAAAATGACTCCAGCTATTTGAGATGCTTGTAGGGAATGGTTTTGCCTCTCAATTTTATATTTGTAAAGAACTTGCATTTTTTTGACATTCAGTTTTGGCAGGTGGAGACTTGTGAACCCAAGGAAATGGGGAGAAAGCTTGTCTTTTAAACAACCCTTAGAATGTACATTTCTCCCAGGACTCCTTACACATTACAGCTCTGATGTAATACAAGTGAGAAATTGACAAACATCAGCCTTTATACAACAGTTTCCTTTTTCAAAGATGCATACTCACATCCTGTAAAAAAACCCTTGGAAACATATTATCTTTTCATTATGCTTCACTCAGTCTATGGGGAGAGCGTTCTTAGACCTTCAAAAATAAATCTAAGTGCATCTCCAAACATTAGCACCAGGTCCAGGTCTCTCAAAAGAAATGTTGTCAATCGTGAGGTGCTTGACTGAGAGCCTCATCACCATGGTAATCCAGGGCACTTCTACATAGTCACCCTCAAGATTTCCAGTTGCGGTGGGTTTCAGAAGAGCTTAAAGAAAAAAAAAACTGTTTTCTGCATTTCAGTAGTTGGAGATTGCATGTTGCTATTTTGACAGTATATGTCTAAGGTAAAGTATCTCTTTGTCTTTGGAGTTAGCATGTTTTACTGTAGATTTTTACTCCTGTAGTTATGAGTCCCTGGATAAAGGGGTTCAAAATGCAAATGAGAAAGGATCTTTAACCTAGGAGAAGTCAGGGTTCTTCCCTTCCACCCTGTTCCTAGAAAACTGCTTCTATTTTTTTTTTTTCTACCTCACTACTCGGGTAATTTAGAAACATCCTAGATCTCTTTACAGAAATTTTTTTTTTTTAAGAAGTGGCCAAACCCAGATCTGTAAAATACATCCTCCATAGCATCTTGCATGTAAGATCAACTTTTTCTTCCTTGCAGCTCTGGTTTTCCCAGTGAGGGAAAGGGACTCTTGATGACAAGAAATATCAGAGGTACATGGGTCTCTGTGGGACCTGTCCTGTTAAAGTGTTTCTTTTCTTCAGTCAAACCCTGTTTTTATTTCACAAGCCCCATTGAATTGAACCAGGCCAGCTATGTGAAAAGCGGTCCAGTTTCATATCCTGAACTAAAAGAAAGTGATGCACTTACCAATCTGCGATTCTATGATTCTATGAAACCCTGATCTCCTTTAAAACCTTTGGGAGCTTTGTAGTTCACTTTAGAGCCCTGAATTTGTCTTGTGGACGCTTCCACCATGATAGACATAGACCAATCTGAGCTCTTCCACTTTGCCCCAAATTGGCTGGATGCAAGCTGTGACCTAGAAGATGCTGAGGCGCATTAGCAGAGCACTGCGCTGGAGCCGGCAAGCCTTACTCTAAGGCAATTCAGCTGGGACAGCAAGACAGTTGCAAAAAGGTATTTGATAATATCTTTCAATTGCCTTTGAAAGTTTTTCATTTTAGGGCCAATGCATGTTTAAATACCCATATCTCCATTATCTTATTTCTTCCAATGGTTATCACTTTCCCTTTTTTACAAGGGATTAAACTAATTTTCAGATATCAAAAATGCTTCCTTCATATTTTAAATGTGGAGGGTAAGCTTATATATTTGTATGGCATCTGAAATATATACAGCGTTTGACTCAAACTGTCATTTATATAAGTAGGAGGCCTTTAGAGTAATAGCCCCATTCTATTTTCTGTGAAAGCACCTTATACAGGAGTTATTAATATGCAAGATATTAAGATATTAAGCTGTCAGAGATGGATTTATTTCTAAGAACCTGGAAAGATAAGTCAGTACTATTACATGTTTAATTTGAATAAAGACCTATTTTAAGTATTTTTTGACGGCCTGACAATGTTTTCCTGTCATGTGACATCAAAATATAACAAGACAAGAAATGTCACCCTCATTGTACATGTTCCTAGCTAAGAAAGAAGTTTTCTGGGATGAATGAGCACTCTTAAAGCTGTATTGAAATGGGCAAGGAATAATAAACAAAAAATGAAGCCTAACAAAGGGGAAAAGAAAGCAATACATCTAAAGTTGTCTTAAATATTTGATAATGTAAGAACTACAAAACTGAAAATTGTTGTAGGCATAGAGCAGTGCCTAAGATGAGCTTAAGAGGCTGACCTTTTTTTTTTTAAAAAAAAAAGTAGTAGAATCAAGTGTCCAAACTGATTAAACAACTTCAGGATCATAAGATATGTTAAATAACTACTTGTCTTTAGCACCACCTGGCTGATGATGTAACATCTGGTTTCATCCCTGCAGAGAAGATAATTAAGCCCATAACAGACCCTCAAAACAAAATGAAACAAACCAACACAAATTAAAACAGAAAATCATGTATGCACAATAATTATGAAGAGCCAAACCAGAGTGGTATTCGGAGAAAAAAAAAATTCCCAATAAGGAATGCAGATGAATAGGGGCTCTGAGGGTGAAGGTTGCACCGCTGAGCAAGGCAAAACCAAAATTAATTTGTGCAATGCTTTTATTTTTTTTTGTGCATGTATGAGTCATCTGTGGATCTTAGCCTGGAAAGCAGACTGTTTTGTGAAATAAGGGGAATCTTTCAGTCTGGGGCTTGATTCTCTGCCTATTTACTTCAAGATGTCATCTTCAGACATCATTCTGGTCACAAATCTGGTGTTGGGTCTAGTGGGCTCATCCACGGTGCTAAATGAAAGAGGCTGAAGACTGAAAGAGACACAGCACCCTTGACTGCCCATCTTGACACTACTCAATTCTTACCTTGCTTAGGGGCTCTGTTTTGGGTTGCTTTAGTAGGTGTATTTACAACCTAGGATTACTCCAGGGAGTGTTCCTAAAAAGGCAGCATGGACAAGACTGAAGTAGGTTTAGCTCCTTTTACCCTGCCCTCTAACACTTTATCAGTGGGGTTTGTACCTTCATACCTTAGTTGCCATCAAACCAAGGCATACCACAGAATCTTCTGACTTTGTGGTGTCCCAGTACTGCTGTGGTGGCATTCAACACAGCCCTCAGTGTTACAGATGCTTTGAACCGGAATGACATATATTAAACAACAATATCTGAGAGCCAGAGGGAAGCCGCGTGGGCCAAGAAGAGTAAGGTCAGCAACAAAGGCTACATAGCATAGATGCATTCTGCTCACTCCAGAGTGAGTTAGGGAGAGCCCTAAGCTACACAGATGAGAATCAAATTTTGACATTTGGCCTTGGGGCAAGGACACCTCTCTGGCACTCTTCTATCTTGTCATACAGATGTGTCCAGTATGGCCTGAGCACTCTGGACTTTTTTTGCGAATACATTTCTATTTTAACAAACATCTGTTAAACCAGTCAGCTAAAACCTGCTTCCTATGATATTGAAATGGTTAACCTCCTGCACAGTATCCCCTGACATTGCTATATATTCATTAGGAAAAAAATTGTTGTAAATAAACCACAATAGATATAAAATTACAATGGCTAGGCTACTTTGAGGCATCCCCATGAATGGTAACCAAATTTTATCCAGGTAAATCCACGCTGAGAAAGGACATTGCTATTGTTTCAAGCACAAACAAGTTTCTCTGTAATGAAGTTAATCAGTAAACTATATAACCTCTGGCCTGTGTCACTCCTTTGCCAGTCTTAAAGAAAGTTCTCACAGTAAAGTAGTCAACAGGATATGGACAAAGCAGAATTAGGAAATTTTATTTATATGTAGTCTTTAGGGGGAAAAAAGAGAGATAAAGGAGGACTGAGTACCTTAAGGAAAGTATTCTTCAGGAAATGGTCACACCAAAGACAGCCTAAGGTAGGATAGTGCTGTGTTCTTGCTTGGACATGTTTCTCATCTGATCTTGTATTCTTTCTCAAAACTGTAGGAAGCTAGAAGGTTGTTTAAATCAAATTATCTTTAAAGATCTACAAATTTTTTTTTTAGAGTTAAATCAGGATTTCATAAATGGCTATGTTATGATTTCCAAATTACTTAATCCTGAATCTTGTTCTTATATCTTTAAGTTTCTTCATGAATATACTATGGAGAGACGGAGGTTCATATTTTAAACCTGCTTAGAATTCTCTTCCCTTTAATTACCTTTATATTAAAGGAACAGCAACTTTTACATTGAAATGTGATCTCATTGTAATTTCTGTAATATTCTGAAAAAAACCATGTTCTTCAATCTGCACATAAGCTCAGTATAATTCTGCAAATTGAAAACATTTTCTTTTATTCCTGCAAAGAAAATTCCCTTTCACTTCTACAAGCAGTTAAGCCTACATCAAATATTTTGTCAAGTCTTATAAAATATTGTGTGTAAAAATTAAAGGAACAAAAGCAAAACTCTCCAATGAATTTCACTTGCAAGTGGCATTGTGGAAACATATTTGTAAAATGATGACCATATCCGTGTGAAGGTTTGACTTTTATATTGGTAAGCTTTCCAGGTTTCTGTAACATGTTTTTCATTGGAAAACATTTATTTGCAAAACATAATCTAAAAGATCCGCAGTGGTAAGTCACATCACAATTGTGTCTGCACAAGTAGTCTTGCTTTAGAGATGTAAAAGGTATGCTTCCAAAAGGATAAAGAGAAATGTTTCAAAACAGTTAAGGCCACACAAATATAAAATATTGCTGTGTCCCAGTGAGCTCATTTCTAATTTCACTTTCACTGCCTTATACTCCTGCAACTCTAGCAGTTTCAGTGGGCTGGCTCATGCCTCAGTGTTGGGAGACCCAGCCTATCCCACTTCTACAAATACCTGGATAAAAGCATATGTACATTCTGGCTTGCAAGATAAGATTAGTTTTCTTTTGTGATAAGAAAAAATGTGTTGTAGATTCACATGCACTTTGCAAAGCATAATTCCAAAAAAAAATCAGCGTGGTTTTCAAATATCACCCAGGACAGAGCGGTAGGCCGTGTACATTTGAAAGCAGAATGCCTTCAGCTTTTGCTGGAGGCCTCGTGTGCGCAGAGGGCTGGGGAACACAGCTCAGACCACACTTTCTAGATCAAGTCATGGAAATACTTTGTCTCAGTAATTTCAAGGCATCTAGTTTCTATTTCAACCTCATCATTTGTTACAACTTTTTAAGATAATATTTCAGAGTAAAAGGGCATTTCAACTAAAAAACCAAAATGGTTTCATTTTGAAGCCATCTTTGTGGAACACCTCCACAGTTATAAATAATTATTTTTAGGAATTATTTTAGATCACTAATGCTTTGGAGCAGACCACTTCTTGCAGTGTTTAATTCTAGACTCCTTGACAATTTTGTGGGGGGAAAAAAATTGACAACTGTTTTTAATCTGCTCTGGGTAGAGTATGGTGTCTCACTGAATCAGCCTAAGTTAGCTGATGTCTAAGGATGAAATATAGATATTCACCAAGCCCTTCAAACAGGTCTACTTAAAAAAAAAAAAAAAAAAAAGCCCTTTAAGCTAAAGTGGGAAAACCTACACAGTTACAACATAACTATCTTTAAAAATCAATCTGGCCTCCATAACTGTAGTATCTGAGCACTCCCCAGAGTTTTAGCTGTAAACCTGTTTTAGATAAAACAAGACGATGTTCCCTCAGTCTCTCTCGCCCCTGCCTGTTCTCTCTTTCCCCTTCCGTTGCTCTGAGCATGGACTCAATTCAGCTGAACTGTATAATGTGTGCCTGACACAGAAGGAAAAAGGAGGAGATACAGGCTGGCTGGCTTTTTTTTTTCCCCCATATTTAACTTCATACATTATGACTCAGGTTTTTTTGTTTCCTCTAGAAGCAGAGTAGAGTTAAGGATTGTGAAGATTTTTCTAAACATACCTGTAACCCAAAAGGATCTACAGTGGTTTAACCAAACACACAATATCGTCTCAGCGTGTGCTGCAGTTCTTTAGCAGTCCTGAGTTTTTTAACAAGCCCTGAGATTTTTATTTATTTATTTATTTTGCTGTGGAAGGAGCATTGCCTTCTCTTGCTCTTTCAGAGGCCCAAGCAGTTCAGGAGGCTGGTATAGAGCTTCCATGGAATTTCCTGTGGATAGTATAAAGTTAAAAATCAAGTTTCTTTCTTTTCATTTTGGGATCGTCCCACTTTCCTTTTGCAAACTCAGTCATCTAAGTAATTGCCAACTAGCAAATGACAACTTAGGTCTCCATGGTGAACAGATTCCTTTCCAAAGAGAGACTGAATGTTTTGTATAGTGATTGTGTATCTCACATTTAACACCAATTTTTGGTACCTGAAGTACTTTGACCAGTCTTAATGAGATGCAGTCTCAACAAATGGCAAATATAATTAAAGAAAGACCACCCATGCATTAAACCTATACCAAACAATAAAGGTCAGCATCAAATCATTGCTGTTCTCATCCCTTACATGTTTTGTCACCACTGCAGCTGGTATGTATTAGTGACAGTTTGCATTTGATGCATGAAGCTGTAACTTCATCTCCAGGTTCTTCCCACAGAGTCCCCAATACTTGTATTTTGTCTCAGGTCTTCATATGTCTATGCTGTTTATTTAAAGGGCATAAACTTGGGTTTGGGGAATGCCTTCTGCTATTCTGCTTCTGCTTGGGGCCCTGGCCTCTTCTGGAGCAACTAAATGCAACCATACTTAAACTAATTATTAATAATAAATGGCACCATTATTTTCATTTGGTTTTGTGTCACGTTCTTCCAGACATACATCTTTTCTCCTTATTCTTGAACTGGGACCTCAACATTTGCTATTGGCAAACATGTGCTGTGGACAATACAGCAATCACATAAATCTAAAACACTTGTATGGCTTCTGCAGCACAGTAAAGTAGGAAGGGCAGAAGGCTGCAGAGCAAGAGTGTGAGACCTTGAAAGTGAAAAAGTAGGTGAAATGAAAAGGTTAATTTCTGGAATTAACTAACTAGGGAAGAATCCCCTACTACAGATTTGTATTCTTTGTTGTCATTACAGATGTTCCCTCTTCTTAACTTCAGCATTTCTTCATTGCTTCTCATTCCTCAGAAGTGAAGGAGACTTGCCAGGGAACCGGTTTTATGTCAGCAAAAATGTTTTTAGAGTGCTTCTGAAGCGCTGTTAAGTAATGGTCACTAATGAACATTAATCTATGATTTCCTTGTAAATATTGCCATTGACTCCAATAAAAGTGGGACTCAGCATCTTCCTGGAAACATGCACTATTTTTCTCAGATTCCCTTCTTGGAACTAAAGAAGGAATTGTGTCAGTATTTTCATGGAACAGATGCGTCTTTCTCCAACAGAAAATATGAAGTAGTTTGCAAATAACTTTTCAATTACTCTTTTCAGCTGGTTGACATGGGCTTGATTTTAATTACACCATCCAGGGACTGCTAGATGCTGTTGTACTTGTAGTACAGAAAAAAAGTGAGACTGAAGTTGTTTGCATTTTTTAACCTGTTACTTAATGGGCAAAGCTAAGGTTAGCCTCCGGATACTGTCTCGATAAAGACAGGAAAGGTTGTCATTCCTTGTACTACTGCCAGGTTTGTTGTTGGCTTGGAGGTGCTCCCTATGAGAACCACGCAACTTCACTGAGTGTCCCAGGCTCATAGGGGCTGGGGACCAGGCTGCAGAGGCTGGCTGGGTGGCTGCTGGAGGCTGGATGGGCGAGAAGGTTGCATTTCACCACTTATACTGGGCATGTCTTCCCTGCTCCTTCATGGTAACCTCACTTTCCCCTTTCAGCCCCTTCTAAAAGGCTTATTTCATGTTCTTAATCTTCTAATTAAGCCTTGCTTTTGTTGTCTGTCACCAGTGCAGTTTCTCCCTATCATGCTGTTCAATTCAGCATTGAACAGAAATTAACACAATGTTTGAGTCTTGATCTAGCTTTCACCAATGCCATAAGATTTTCGGCCTTTGTTTGAATTTTTTTTCATTCTGCTGTGAGACCTAAGTTGGGTTGCTAGCTTCTCTGTGGTGTGGATTGCTCTTTCTTGTAAACCGAACATTTATGCAATCAGTGGCATGGGATCTTTTTTTAAATGTAAGTGCCAGTGCTGGACATTTCCACCAATAATAAAGAAGTGGCTGAGAGTGGCTAAGTTACTTTTAAAGTATCTTGAAACGTATATGTGTAGCACCAGGACCACAGCAAATCTGAGCTCAGATAATGCAATCTTTATGATTACGCCTTGTTTTTGAGATGGATGTCTGGAAGTGGAAACTTTGCTGATAACTGCAGTTTCATAACAGTAATAGAAATTGGTTTTGCATTATTATTTTCCAGGTGTCCTTTCAGAGCCAATGAATTCTCCAGTCCAAGAGGTAGATGTGTCACCTTACACACAGTACAACAGTGTGCCATTTCCCCAGGTTCAGCCTCAGATTTCATCGCCGCCTTATTACTCCAACCTAGGCTTCTACCCTCCGCAGCATGAGGAATGGTATTCCCCCGGGATGTACGAGCTCAGGAGAATACCCTCAGAGACCTTTTTCACAAGAGAGACAGAGATACTGGATATCCCTGCAGCCAAAAAGCCTAGACTGGGTCACTCCACGGGAAGAGTGAAAGGAGAAGAGCTCTGTGTGGTCTGTGGTGACAAAGCCTCTGGGTACCACTACAATGCTCTTACTTGTGAAGGATGCAAAGGTAGGATGAAATCAATTACAGAATACAATTCAGCTAATAAGCACAGCAGCTTCTGAATTTTTTGGTTTTTTCCTTTCTTATTAATTTTATCTGTGTCATTAATCACTTTAGAGATTAAGTCTGGATCTGGTGTACACTATTCTGTATTTTCCCCAAGACAGACTGGCAGTGTCTTCCACCACTGTCCTGTGAATAGAGAGCACAGTTGGCCAACCTATGGCTCTTAAGCCATCCTTAGCTCTTGGTAAACTGAAGAACAGCGTCCATGTGGGGGCCTGGCAGCATGGCTCTGCTGTCTTGGCAGCTGTTGGAAGGAACTAAACCCATGGAGACCCCCACAGAGTTCAGTGCTAGGCTGTCCTAGAAATTGGCTGCGAACCCAGCCCAAATGCCTCCTGTAGTATGCTTGAAAGGAAGTGAAAGCTGCCAGGTCCCACCTGCAGGCTGTTTCCATAGAATTTCTTTCCCTCAGCTCCCAAAGGATATTGTGGGTGTCTTCAGGTTTGTGAAATTAAAGGATTTCCAATTCTAGACCTGCTTCTAGGGATAGCCCCTATTCATAGGGAGGGAGCTTCTTCTGGAAACAGGTGATACCTGTAGGACGAATATCTTGCTTCTTAAGAGAGCAGTACTCACAAGCTGGTGTCAGGATAAATGGGGTACAGAAAAACGTTGCCATTATTAGAAACATGATTGCCAGGTATTCTAGCAGTTAGGGACAAAAGGGTTATGCTGATGGAATAACTGTTATACCCAAAGATGGTTACTCTGTCACAAGGCTGAGTTATATAATAGAAAGAAAAATAATGCCCTAGTTTTCCATTCTATTCTGTGAATAAATATTTCATTATCATTTCTGTTCTATGGTTAAAGGCTAAAGCATGGCCATTACTAAAGCACTAAAATATCTTAATGTCTCACTGTCACTGAGAGTGGACTTTGAACTAATTTTGGGGTTTTGCTTTATCTATTACAAATTCATTTCTGAGGGCACAACAGACCACACTGGTCAACCACTCTACACATTAATACAGTCAAGGGTCATAGAGCTTATCTCAATAATCCCAATAAATAAGAGATTTGTTTCTTTCTTCTATCTGCATGAATAGTCTCAGAGTCAAAAAGTACGAATGAACTCATATGAATGCTGTCATTATAAACCAGATTAAACTCAATTTTAATGTGAAGATTCCAAGTAGTGATATATTTACTCTGTTAGTAAGCTATTCTACTGTCTATTAACTTTGTTATTAAATGTCTTAGTAATTTTTCAAATACTTACAATAACAAACTATGGAATATGTAAAGAATGTTTCTAGGATAGAGGTTAAAGCCACTAGGTAAATGCTCAGGCTAAAACCCATGGTGAAAGGAAATAACGTGTTCCTCTCTTTACTGATTCAGTTTGAATCACTCTATGTAACCATCATTTTACTGCTTTATTAGGTTAATTTATTTTATGTGTTCACTCTGTTTCATGACTGCAACATCAATTAGAAAGAATAGTACCCTTGATCAAACATAGTAAAAGTTGATTTGAAGATAATGCATTCTGTTTCTACAATAAACTATAGAGGTGCTTAAAGTACCAGCTGATTCAGTAAAGAGATGTGCTGAGGATAGCAATTCTGTTTGACAAGGTGAAGAGGATACTGTGTTTTCTAGACCTCTAATCATTCTTGTCTATCTGTGGACTTACTCACATGGGTATACGTTGCCCTCAAAGGATGGTGACCAAAACTGGGCTTGGCACTTCAGTTGCGCTCTCACCAGTGCAGTAGAAGAACTGCCTCATGTGTTTCATATTCAAGTACAAGATTAGCCCTTCTTTTTGGCAACAAGACTGTTAATTCATGCTCAATGTGTGTCCAAAATAATATGCAGATCCCTTTCTGCAGGACTGGTGCTCACCTTGCAGCACCCCTGCTCCATTGATGCTGTGAACATTCTTATTCAAAGCGGGAGGCTTTGTGCATATTTTTATGGGATTCAATCCTCTGTTATGAATATGGGTTGTTTTGTGGTTTTCTTTTTTTCTTTTTAATTTCTTTCTTGGGTAATGCGTTCAGCAACACCCTCTATTCTTTTTGTTTTTCTTTCTTGGGCAGGAGGAACAAATATTAAAATCTTATTTATCATACATCATGAGAATATTAATCTAAAGATATGGGCAGGATTATACATTTCTAAATATATATATTTTAATACATTACCATCCCTTAACAAATAAGTATAAAATATTTTATTAACATTTTAGATATTATGCAAAAGCAGATTAAACAGAACATTTGCTCCCATACAACATTCATCTCAGGTACTATAAAAAAAAAGGCTTCCTTGAAGTTTCTCTCACCTCTAATATATCACTTCAGAAAACACTGCCCTGATTGACAATAAAAGCATCACAGCTGTGGTCCATAAGGGATGAGGCAGTTCACAGGCGTTGCTACAGCATAGTGACCAATACACAATGCTTTAAAGCCTGCTGCTGCAGAGGTAATTTCTGAGACATCCTTTGCAGCAAGACATCAAAGATTTTTTGTATAGCCTTAGTCTGTATAGGGCTACTGGGTTTTAGGGCCATTTTCAGGTGCTGCAGAACAAGCGGAATATAGAACCACGCTCATTCAGTACAGCCACAGAATAAGTTCTGCCGAGAGAAAAACAAGTTGTGAATTCCCTCTGCCCAGGCTGGCGGTATGAGCTTTTGCAATCTTCAAGCCACTCCTGGTAATGCTTGATGCCAAGTCAAGCCAGACTTTAATCTTCTCCTCACTTTAATCTTCTCCTCGCACTAACACCACACCATGTGGGAACGGGGGGCAGGAACGCTGTAGTGTGTCTCAACAGAGTGGAGCAGGTGCTTTGGTAGCAATTGTGAACTTCAACAACTTTTAAACTGAAAAACCCAAAGCAGTTGGCCATCAGGATGGCAGACGGAGATATGTACAAAGCTTTCCTCTACACTTTTAACAGCTGTCCTCCTTCAATGTTCCTAATTTCCATAAGAAAAATCAGCATCAGTAGCGTTGGATCAGCTCTAGCCATAATTAATCATATTCGTGACTAGCTAAGAGAACAAAGCAAATTCAACATTTCCAGCCAACATGAGCTTTTTGTAATTTGGCAAGATCAGATAAAAGTTAGAGTGTGCCAGAAAAACCTTCAGCTTTTGGGGCTGCCCCATCATTAGTTTAAGAGATTCTGATTTACCTCTGAATTTTTGTAAAACTCCTCCTGTTATAGGAGGTCACACATAAAATATTTCAGGCAGTTTATGTTAATTTTTAATTATTAGTGAATAATATATAGACAAATTCCATTCATATCAAAAAGCTTATTTAAAAATTAATTATGAAGAAATCTATTCAAGAAGACAATGATTCAGGAGTCACTTTGTGATAAAACTGAAGTGAGAGTAGGGTTAAAACTCCTTTTTGCCAAAAGATATTTCACTTTTCATTTCACATCTTTCACTTTTTCAAAAACTTTGTTTTCAAGAAAAAATATATGACTGAATCCTATTAGCTCCTATCTTTTTTGCATCCCTGGTCTTGCATTTGTCTTTCACATTCTTACATAACTTCTAAAAATTCATTTACTAAAGCTCTTTTTCTTTGCTCTTCCATGAAAAAGCAAACACACACCTTGTGGACAGAGTGAGTGATAAAGTCATCGATCAGACTTAGAATATCACAAATACTTGTGCAGAACTTTTCAGCATTTACTACTTTTTAATGTGTCATGAATTACTGGTTTAAATTTAACAAATAAGATTTATATATGATGTCAAGCAGATGCAGTTGCCTTTGACACTGAGAACCTACAGCTTAAATCCAGGCATTTTTCTCCCTTCCCTGACCAGTAAATGGTAATGTATTAAACATCACGTGAATGATGAATAAAAATAGTGCCTGGGGCTGCTGGAGGTTCTAAGCAATCTGCATTTCAAAGGAGACTGATGCCTGTCAAGTGTATTTATCTGAAAAGAAGCCAGTAAAACAGAGAGCATGGAAGCGATTTCAAGCAGGAAATACAGCAGATTCAGAAAAATACCAGATTTTTTGTAACCAGATAGTGGAATTGTTTTACTGGTAGCTACACGCTGGTGCTTGGAAGAGATTATGCAATTATAAAAACATGGGCCAAAGTTGGGAAATTGTCATCTGACAATGGCAAAATCATCATGTCATCTGTTTTCTCTCCTGTACTCAGCAGGATGGTATCTTAGCTCAATGCATTCTTAAAACACACAGACGAGTCCTGCAATGGACAACGATTCAGATTCACATCTGAATTTTCCTGATGATTTCAGTATGGGAGACTGGGTCTTATCTGGTGCTTCTCTCAGTGCATCAAAGTGCCAGATTGGAAAATGATGGTGTTTTTATTGTGCCAGCTAGTGGCAATGACAAAGCACAAGGTTTGTGAATAGCTCTGGTTAATGCAAATTTACGCAGAGCTCTAGTTTGAAGTACACTATACATCAGTGATGTGGCAGCAGAAGCTTTCAGGAGTCTATTTTGGAAACCTGCCCTCAGGTGGAGAGGAAAACTGAGCTTCCCTCCTATGCCAGAGAGAGTTAATTCCCTGCTGATGCTAAATAGTCTCTGCTGTAGGAAGGACAATGTAAAGAGATTGTGATGGCACAGTGAGTCACTAAAAATTCAGGAAACATTCAAGTCATGATTGGCAGCAAAGACTGTTGTTTTGTGATGTCTTTTTTATTCAATTACATTTCATATCTCAAGCACTTCACATTTTGCCCACGGTGCCACTCTCAGAGGTGTGATAGGCAGCGGTCAAATAGGAGATTTGGACAGACTGAGGACAGACAGTCCTCTTGATTTCTTGGGTCAGTTGCCATTTGCAGTTACCACTGTGTGATTCTGGAGCAAATCCAGTGATGATACCAACAGAACTGCCCCCATGGGTGAAATGAGGGGACTGCTTAACTCATTAGGTGGACAATGTTTAGTGAATGCGACTGGAGTATCCTACAAGCAGGGGAAGAGGCCACATGTACAATAGGCAGATACGATGCAGCTTCCTTATTAAACTTGGGGGTGGGCGAGCAGACCAGTACATGGAGATTCTGCAGCTCCCAGGAGCTGAGAGAACTGAGTTACTCAACTCTCCTGCAAATCCTGTACCTCAAGAGACTTAACAGATCCTTATTTTTTTCACTGGCTATTTGTATGGTATCAGCCTACAGCTCTAGTGCTGGTGCTCAACCTGCTCCTGGCAGGTTTCAGATGTGGGTCTGAATTTTCCAACATTCACAGTTCCAGGACCTTACTTTAGGCTAATGTCTAATGTTTGGGCATGTGATTTGTCATGTTGATTTATTAAATTATATTACTTTGATACTATTCTTAGGACAAATATCAAGAATACAGTCACCCAAGCACTGAAAGAAGCTTGCAGTGCAGTAGAACATGTGTCATTCAGAAAACCCAATGGAGATGGAGGTGCTCTTCAACTTGACTACTTTGCTTAAGTGTTTTCTCTATGTCACTGCTGTGTTGTGCAGGGTTCTTCAGAAGAAGCATCACAAAAAATGCAGTATACAAGTGTAAAAACGGAGGCAACTGCGAAATGGACATGTACATGAGGAGAAAATGCCAGGAGTGCCGCCTAAGGAAATGCAAGCAAATGGGCATGTTGGCTGAATGTATGTATACAGGTATTTGCATCATATAGTCAGAGTGTGTAGAGAAGACACCAAATACTGTATTTGTTTAATTGGGCTAGTTTTAATAATAAAGCTATAAAAGATGTCACCTGGCAGATGGAAGGCACATTAAAGATGATGCCATGCCTGAGCATCAAATCCTGTTGAAAAAGGCAAATGCACTTATAAGAAACAGGATTTAGTTGGTGGTCAGGGGCACAAGGGCGTAAGAGCTGAGCAAATGGTGAAGGAAGGGCTGTCCTGCACTAGATGACAGCCATTAGTCTGCTTGAGTGGGAAGGAAAAGCAGTTGGGGGAAGCAAATCTATGGGAGGCTCCCCAGGAGTGAAGAGTTTGCAACGTTGTGGAAGGCAAAGCAGGAAAGTCCTGGCATTTCCTTTGCTACTCTTTCTGGCGCTCTCCCTGTCAAACTCTTGCTAGCCAAGTCCAAATTTTGGCATTCAAACGATGCCATTTTCAAGAAAAGAGGAGGACTGATGCTAGCAGGAAGTTTCTGTGGACTTGCCAAGTGCGTACTCCCTGACCTCACCCAGCAATCAGGTAAAGCCTGCTAAGGCCTGGCTCTTTTTTACAGTCTCATTAGCTTTTCTCATGGCACTATAGATTTTCCTGCCTTGAGGACACATAGGTAGAACCATCTCCAGAAATGAAGCTGATGGACTTTATTAATGTTATATATTAAAGCGAATATGCTATTCAGACTGACAGCTTATAAACTTAATTGAGCTTCACATTGGATACTTACACACATTTAAAACTCCATTTTGAGTAAAACGTTAGCCAATCCATTATTTTTGCAAGCTTGCTCCCGAAAACAGTCTGTACACTTCTGCTCTTCTGCCTTCCACGAATAGGGCTGCAATTTATTTTTCCTGATGGCTCCAGTCATTTTAGCATACACATATGTGTGAAACCAATTTAGGTTCATACAGGAAATTAATCTACTTGGAATTTTTAATATATTTCTATCCCTCAATCTGATCAGAAGATGCTATATTAACTGTTGGTTTGGGGAGAAACAATAAGCTCCATCAATATTTAGAATGCATTGCCAGCATAATGTAATTAATCTTTCATTCTGCAAATTGAACAGGCTACAAAGATCCTGAGATATGACATATTCTCATGCAATACATAAATATATGAGCAGACACCACCACTTGATGACAGCACTCAATGTGTCCCTAAGCGTCAGGGGAAAATAACTCCCCTGTGGTGCTGATCCCAGATCCATTGTTCCAAAATTTTAAGGGTTCAAAATAGCCTGAGTGACTCACTACGACAAAAAAACAAACGCATCACCAAAAAAAAATAGGTCAGCGTAAATAATACTGACTGGGCCCCCATGAAACTTTTAAACTGGCCTATCGTTTTCACAAACTGGCATATGTGAAATAAAAGCCAGTCAGTGCCACGGCCATCTGACTCTCTCTCTGCAATGGAAACACTGGGTATCTCGTGTTGCTCATGACTTAACCATAACCATGCTCTAATGTACTGCAATGAGGATGTCTGGCAAGGTACTATTTAATGGCTTTTAAGTAGGAGTGTGCTGTATAATTGCTTTTAGTTCAAGGCCATCCAGGACAGCAAAACAGGAAGCTTCTAGTGGTATAGAGCATTTAGTTGGAAAAAAAAAAAATTACTAGGAAATAAAAGGCTACCTTGAACTTTGTTTCACTTACTCATTTTGTAGGATTGTACTTGCAAGGTCTGTGGATTCTTTTTTTCCTCTGAACAGGAGGTAAAGTTTTATAAACATTTATGGCACGGCTACTCAACAGTCCTAATCTTGCCCTTTATATTCAAACCCCAGACAGATCAAAATTACTAACCATCAATTTTGGTAATTTGCTGTGGTTTTGATATAAAACTGCAAATTTCTTGGGTGAAATATCTACCTAGGGAAAACCCAGGTTCTGCCACTCTTCCTGGACGGTAATACCCATTTAATACCCATTGAAACCTAGCTATCTCCGCAGCAAAAAGGGAAGTCCTGTCTCTCCCATGAGTTTTCCAGCTAACTTAAATGGAGCCAGAACAAGATATCAAGGTGCTACTCAGTAAGAGGAAGCATGAGAAAAATCTGCCTTACTGCTTAAGGCAAATGTAAACCAAATTTTCTCTAGGAAGGTAGTACACCAGATCCTAAGCTGGTGGAAAACAGTATAGGCCCATTAACACTGCCAAAGGATGCGCTGAATAATTCAGAAAAAGAAATCTATGGTGCTGTGCTGCAGTACAAATTACATGGCTTGGTACCAATTATTATCTCCATCATTTCTATTCCCTCCTTTTCAAGGTATTATTTGCAGGTCTTATTTCAGGTAGGTTTTTTTATATAGTGCTTAAACAGGAAATTAAAAACATTCACCATGGAATTCACTGTTTTCATGGTATCTTCCTTCACTATCATATCCTCACTGAATGAGCCTCTTTTCCTGCTCTGAATTTTCAAAGGTGAAGAATGGGAAGGATACTTGAAAGAAGCTAAAAAAAAAAAGAAAGAAAGAAAGAGTCCTGTGCTGATGCTTTATTTTTAGATGAATACTTAGCTGTTTACTTTTTCGTTTGTGCTTTCTGGCTGTCTTCCACAGGTTGTGTAGGGTACCTACTGTCCCTTTCTTTTGTTAGCACAAGCAAATCGCTAGTTTTTATGACATCCACACAAGGTTGCTCCCTGGTTCAAGGTACTGAAATGTAGTCTAGAACAAAAAAAACCCCACGAACGCAAAAATCCTTTCATTAGGGCAAGTGAAACTCTAGAGTAAAACCAGGGCTTTATTCAGTCCTCTAATCCAATGAAAGGCAAAATAGCAAGACCAACCAGGTAGCATTTCAAATAAATCCATTTTTCAGGTATATTTGCTAGCCTGAGTTACTTCTGAGCCTACATTTTCAGCTGTTTTTCTATCTGTATATTGACACTGTAATGGCTAACGCCATGGAGTCCTCTCTTATGAGAGGGCTTTCTGTGCGAAGATTCTGCACTACAGCCATAAAATTGCTTAAAGATTATTGAAAACATTCACTGCTCTTTGTGTAAGAGCAGCTGCACCTCAGTTACTGTTTTGGATTGGATGAGGAGCACACTTTTCACGACAGTCTTCCAATTGACCCCATTTATTGCACCTGGGTTCGGGTGTTGGAGGGGTTTTCTCTTGGATGAAACGAAACAAAAGACACACTCCAGTGCACTCCCATCGCTAATGGGTTTTCTGTCTGTAAAACAGATTAGAGCTGGTCCCAAGCAAGATCCCTGACATGCACACTGTGTGGCTGCTGGGTCACCAAAGCTGTTTTGCTCTGCAGATGGGCTCCTGCTGGGCTGGACTACTCATTAGTGTGTACTTAGTATGTCTCATTAGGCTCATAGCCAAAGATAATGACATGTTCAGAAAATGATCTGCAGAGGTAAATGGGTTTGTTGGGTGTAAAGGGCACTCATGGGCAAGCTTATGTACGTATTCAGTGCCTGAGACGTATATAAACCCAGTTGCTATCTGTTGTATTATGTGTTCTAGGTCTGTTAACAGAAATACAATGCAAGTCAAAAAGGCTACGGAAAAATGTGAAACAGCCCCCAGATCAGACAGTCAATGAAGATAACGAAGGCCATGACATGAAACAAGTGACATCTACTACTAAAATATATAGGGTAAGAAAATTCTTGTAATAGTTTGTACAATAGTGGTGATGTTTCAGCTAAATGTGGCTAGTACAGTGAATACAGAGTACTTGCAAACTCTCTGGATCTGTCTGTATTACTTAAAACTCTGTCTCCCACAAAGTCAAGGAAATACCTTGTGTATAGAAGTAGTTCTGATATTTTTAGTCAAAACTCAGTAAAGCACCCATAAAATCCACAAATTCTTTTTTTCTGTGATACATATGTCAGGTATATACCACATACAGTGAGGTGTGATATTAAAGTTTGAGCACACCTAGTTATTTGCTAAACATTTCTTTATTTCTAATAATAAACCACACAAACTCACGCCATTTAGAAGCATTATACACCTCTCTTCTGTACACTTCTACAGAAACCTCAGTGGCAATCAAACCTCTTGTCTGCTTGGTCTCTAAGCATGAGAAATACGTGTATAGCATTTGCCTAAAGTGGGAGATGCTAGATCATTTCTATGAGTGCATTTCATGATGGGCTTTTTTTTTTTTGCCAGTATAGGAGAAAGTAGAATTTACCCCAGAACAGCAGAACCTTCTTGATTACATCGTGGATTCATACAGTAAACAACAAATACCACAGGAGGTGTCAAAAAAACTAGTAAGTACATTGATGGATTCATTGTTGAGATGCAGGTGACGAAGCTGAGGCTTACACAGCAGAAAATATTTGTACTCAGCATGAGTAGGTGTAGTAAGTAGTAGAGCAAACTATGGATAAAAGCTGACCGTTAAAACATGCTGCGGCGGGGGGGCAGAATCTCTCCCATTCAGTCCACAGTTAGACTGCATTTTTGTTTATCAGACTTAAATGCTAAGAAAAAGCTTTCAACTCTGGAAATACACTTTTATGCTCATATCTAATCTTTGCTGGTGGGAGCTTTGTTTTTTGCATTGTCAGTTTAGACAGCAGTTTGAGGTTGACTTGCAGCCAAGCTTCCTTTCTATAAAGACACCACCCTGGAAGCTTGAAAATATATAGGGTTTTTTGAACCCAAATTCCCAATATTTTCCAGGGGTGGATTTTTGTTTCATACCCTCTTCTTTCCTTTTCCTCTCTACCTTCTAGAATTTCCATTCTCTCTTTAAGAGTTCCCAGTTTTCATGTAGGATGGAAAAAGGTTGGGAAACAGGGAAAAGAGGAAAAAAGAGTTTGAGAGAGATATATTTTTACAAATCTGTCATGTTCAATCTTTAAAAATAAAACAAAACCAGGAAAACTGTAGAAAATTACTTCCTAAGTCACCAACTTTGAAACCTAAATGGAAGACGCTTGCAGGGAGAGGGTTGAATAACCCACAACTAACTTGTGGAACTTATTTCCATGGGAGGTTGAGGAGGTCAAAAGAAAAAATATGTTAAAAAAAGATATAGACACATTCATGGGTAACAAGGCTTTTGGTTAAATATTGTGGTACACATAGAACTTCTAGGTCAGGAAGCGCCTAAATCATTGATGGCTAGACATGACACTGAAAGTGAGACAAATATTCCAGAGGAAAGGACACCGTCTACTTCTTTTACTTCTTACGTTGCCTTCCAAAATACCTGGTTTTGACAGCCATTCAAGACAAATTACAGGGTTAGATGGACCTCTTGCCTGACCCACTCTAACAATTCTTTTATTTTATGCTCTGAAATGTGAAGTGACAATGAATATTAACAATTTTTTTTGTTTGATTTTTAACAGTTACATGAGGAATTCAGTGCTGAAGGAAATTTTCTGATTTTAACAGAACTGGCTACCAGTCATGTGCAGGTTCTTGTGGAATTCACTAAAAAACTACCAGGTATATCCAGTGTTTTGGGGCAAATTTTGTTATTGCAAAGCTTACATGCCTTTCGGTTGCCATTTGGCTATTGTGTGTATTTTGAAGACCATATAAATATGCCTGCTCCTCTGACATGTATGCATTCTTCAGACACTGTCTAAAGAAGAGGAGCTTTGTGCTCTGAGGAATAATATGTTGAATAATTCAAACTCTGCCACTCTGAGATGTGGCACTCTACCTATTGACAAACAAAACACTCAGAGAAGGGGTTGTGTCTCTAGAGAAGGGTTGGTTTTTTTCCGTATATCACTGTAGTGCCAAATAATCTGCCTCTAAATTACCACTAATACTTGCCAGACTCTGCCTCACTAGCTTTGCTGCCTTTCTAGCAAAGCTTCTAGGTCACGGCATCCACTGAATTGTGAGTCCTAAACAAGAACTTTCCCTAATTGGTGGCACCAATCATTATGGTCCTTGCTGTGTATGTTATGGACAAGCACTGAAAACCTGAGTTTATTAGTATTTTTTTAACTCCCAAGTTGATGTTACCTCAAGAGTGAACATTAGGCACGGTACAGGTTCCTTGTAAGGCAAGCAGTGCTCAGCTATATGAAAACATTATTTTCCTTGTATTCCCATGATTTTGGTCCTTTCTCTGTGTGTTACGGGCTTGCTTCAAAGCCTATCACTGCAGTTGTAACACTATTTTTTTATGCTAACTGGGATACTGGCTCACAGGAAATGAACGTAGCACAAATTAAGCAAAGGGGTACAGCAGTGTCAGCTGAAAGATGCTTAATGAACAGAAGAAAGAATTTAATTTGCTACGTGCCACTCTGGCTGAATGCAATCACTGCTCAAGCACAGGGTTAGGCATGCACATCCACACCTAACAAGGAGTGAAGCTATGAGCTAGAAATGTGACAGTTGTTTCACAAGAGGAAAAAAAAAGCCCTACCAGACTTCTGCGTTCATCTTATGATGAAGAAAAGGCAAAGGGGTCTTAAAGTCAGAAGTACAGAAAAAGATCCAGGTCCTGCTGTTCAGTTTATGCTGAGAAAGACGAAGGGAGGGCCTTTGTAATTGAAAAACCTGCTATTTTCAGTGTTGACTTAAGAGTACATCTGGCACAATTTATCACCTTTTTGCTTCATTCTCTACATTATATCCTTCTGTGCTTCCCCACAGAATCGGGGGGTGGGTATAAGGTGGGTACCTGCATTGGCAAGTATGAGGAGAGCTTCCCGTGATCTTCAGCTCTCTGTTCTTTTTCAGAGGAGCAGCTCTGTATTCACACAAGTTAATAAAATCCTTCTGATTTCTTCAGTGGGTTTGAGAGTCCTTCCCTTCCAAAAGGAGAAACATATATTTAAAACACAGCAAGAAGCCTCTATGTAAAGTCATATCTTGGTCCAAATGCAAGGTGAAATATTTAAAATTAGATGCTTCAAATGCTGATTTTTGCCATCAGAGAACAGAAAGAGCTGAAAGTAGCATGGCAGAGGGACAATCATACAGAGAGCTCTGGTGGTAACGTGGCAGAAGATGTTAGGCAGTGCCATCAGACTAGACAAAATCTCCACTATTGGTTGTGCTGCACCACTAAATTTTGTTTATCATGTTCCTCTTAAAGTACCACGAACACAAACACAAGTCCGATTCTCAAACTTCAGTAAGAATCAAATCTGTGTCATTTTCTGGAATATGGGTTTCAACTTCCACAGCACTTGGCAACCCTACAGACACCAACAGGGTTACGCAGATGTGTAGCACCTCATGTGCAAGAACATCAAGACAGAAAGTAGCGGGGACTTTCTATTGCTGCCTCACTTATCTCTAATATCTCCCCAGGCTTCCAAACCCTTGATCATGAAGATCAGATTGCTTTGCTGAAGGGCTCAGCAGTAGAAGCCATGTTCCTCCGTTCTGCTGAGATCTTCAACAGGAAACTTCCTAGAGGACATACTACCCTTTTAGAAGAAAGAATTCGCAATAGTGGTGAGTATCTTGTTTAACAAGGAAAAAAGAAACCACACCATTGCGCTTCTGTGTCAGTATTGTGCCCTTGAAAAACTGGTAAAATTGTTTATTAGCACTGAAACAGGTTATCTGAATGTTGTTCTTTATATTAACTAGAACAAATCTACTCAGCCTTCAGTCTAAAGGTCATAAGGTAGAGGTTTATAAATACATTGCAAGTTTTACAAATGACGCTGTATCAAGTAAACCCAGTGCAAGTCTCAAATTATAAGCATTAAAGAACGACGAAGTGCCACCATTTCAAATTATTCATATAAAGTATCAATATTTATTCTTTCAAATGCAAACACTATGAGAAAGAAAGAAAATAGAGGATGTTAGGATGCTACTGGAGATGACTGTAGGAAACACAGATTCTTAGGGTCAATTTGCAAAATTGAACCACACTGCACAAGGTGCATAGAAGAATTATAAACATGGCATGTTCTCAGTATGTTTTCTCCTTCTTAAGGTCCATCAAAGGCTCAGTGGCCTTCTACTGGTTCTAGGCATAAATCTTAATAATTATGAAAAGCCAAGCAGGGCTGGTACTGTTTTTTCCTTAATGCACGAAAAGTCATGTTTTGCATTGCTATGTATTCTTTGTGCTCCACTGATGCAATACTGAATGCTTTGCCCTTTTCTGTATTGACCAGCAAAGTTTATCCACCCCTCAGCTACCTATCACTCAAAATTCAAATGTCACAAAAATTCCGAATCAAAGAGTCTGTCTATAGTCAGAGAGAGTGCTTTGACTCTGGCTTCTGGACTTCCTTTTAATGGTCAGAAGGAGAAGAGATAGGGTAACATTTAACCTCAATATTAGTCATAGAAATGGGCTTGAATTCAGTTCTGAAATCAGTAATGTGAGGTACTACTGATATAAGCAAAATTAGGTGAATACTTATATATTTGAAACCCTCAAAAGAAGTTAGGAAACATGAGAATAACTCACTTGCTGAACGTATGTATTTAGTTTGGCTTAGTACACTCAATTCTAGATTTATGTTTTGTAGTCTTTTATATTTATTTTATTTTGATTTATTATAAGAGGCTATTGTTTGATGGACTGGAAATTGTGACTTTGAGAGTGATAGGGATGGCTTCTGGTCCAGGTTCTGCGGGCAGAGAAGCGTGCCAAGAAGGCCAGAGATATTTCCTGGAAACTGTAGTGAGTTGTCATGGATCCAAATGTCTTCATGAAGAGATTTTTCTACAAGACTATAACCTAATTTTTGATTAGAATAGGTCTTAGAGAAATGAAACCATATGAATACGTGGTTACTGAAAGCTTCTGCTCCTCTAATCTATACAGTCAGTATCAACCTCCTTGTTCAAGGTGCCAGCTGTTCATGAAAAGCAGAAGCAGGAAATACTTTGATCCAGAACATTACATAAGTTATTATGTCATACCAATAATTTTTTCCTTACTCATAATTTTAAAATACCCTGTTAATTCTCTGCAACTATTGAGTCCAGATGAGATGCAATATCATTTTTGCAAGCTAGTACTAGAGTTAAAGATAGCATTCATACCATAACATGACTAGCTGGAATATGACATTGTATCCTGCAGTAATATTATTTACTTGTCATGCAATAATATTTTGTGTAGAGGAAAGTTTCAAGACAAGTAATGATTTTAAATGTGGTATTATTTATGCCGCAGGAGGATTGCCTGCAATTCTTTTTTTTCTGGGGGGGGGGGGGGGGGGGGGGGAGCCATTAAAGCCTCTTATGTTGTAATTAACGTTTGAGGGGAGAAAAGACTGGCTTTAGAATGGATGTGATCATTTAATTAGGGTTATGCGTCAGTGCCACAACAGGTTCAGAGAAGTCATAATTTAACTATAGCTTTAAATTACACAGTCAGAACGTGGATGGCAGGGTTTAATGGCAGGGAAGCGCTGCCACTGAGGAGTAGGAAAAACAATTAAATAAACACCTCAAACGGGAGAAGGAGAGGGGAGATGGCCGCGGAGGCAAGGAGGGCGTCCTGGGCAGGGAAGTTGCTCCTTGGGTTTGCTTGAAAGAGAATCCTGTTAAATTAGAGCAGGACAGACCTCGAGCCACCTCCGTCCAGCTATCCACCATCAGCCTCACGTGTTTTCACCCATCAAGGTTTCCGGGGAAGCAGAGTCTCTTCCTCAGCCCGGTATTAATCCACGAGCCCTGATTTCCCCTTCTTTCACCCCAGTGGACAAGGGTCACCACTTGATCCACGTTGGGGCACTGTGGCCCAACACGCTGTCTTGGCAGTATTTGGTATTTGCTGCTTCTGTGCGAGGCACAGGGAACCTTGCGATCAACACCAATGAGCACAAGTAACTTATCTCTACAAGATTTTAGAAAAGAGGTCAGGATTTTTTTTTCCCTTTCAGGAGAAGAATTCGCAAAAAATCCAGAGAAATGCCTGGTTTTCCAAGGTAAATTAAAAATGAGTTCTGGATCAGAACAAAACCTGGGCTGAATAGTTTGCAAGAAATGAAACATGATAAATTTTGTGTGTGTGTATACACAGACACACACACACACACACATATATTATTGCTCTTGGAAAAAGCTCTTAAATATATTTTCCCTCAAGCCAGGATCAAGTTGGGGACATATGAGGAAATACTGCTGCTAGACTTGCTCCCTCCCTATATTACAGGAGAACAATGTATTATCCAGCTTACTTGCTGCTGGCTGCATTCTTTCCTTCCATTAACAGCCAGAATACAGGACAAAATACCCTTTCCATGTATTCTGTTTCTCCATTCTGTGCAAATTCAAGCCCTCTTAAACACATTTTTCTTGGCTGCACTTAATGGGGCTGTGACAGTGAACAACAAAAGCAGGTTGTAAATCTTTGCATTTGTAGCAATGTTAACTTAACTGCTGTTATCGATGCTACTTAACTGTTAGTGCTACTGCACAGACCCAGAAGTCGCTCAAAATTTCCAGATTCTCTGATTTTGGATTGACATTGCTGCATGCTAGAGCATATCTGTCAACCTGGCCATGTCCCTTGCATGAAAAGGCTTAAATGTATTTTTTAAATGCCCCTCTGCCTACTTTTTCAGTACTGGTAACTGCCTGTTAGTTGGTGGTATCACTTCCTTTGCAACCAAAATGCAAGCAGATTGGTTTATACAGGGAAGGATTTTTACTAGGTAGGTTTGACTCTCTCATGCTTCCCAAATGTATTTCTCAGTGTTCACCAAATTTTCATAGGAATCCTGTTTGTCGTCACACAAGCTACCAGGGATTTTTGTTTTGACTTTAAGAGCTCACACTGGTACAATTTTTCTGCAGGTTTTGTCTTAGCTTATGCTAAATTCCAGAATCACACATTTAGGCAGAGTGAGTAATTGTTAGAAAATACCTACTGAAACATCTTATTTTTGTGGTTTAAATCATGGTCACTTTCAGGTGTCCCAAGTTTAAACAAAATGAAAGAAAGGCATCCAAGTTCTTCTGTTATCATTGCTTACCCACACAGCTTTCAAAAATATTGCATATGCAGTTCACACCCCTGCATGGCATAGGAATCAACACCAGGGCTCTAGGTTGAACAATAGCCTGTACTAAACGTGGTATTAGGATAGAAACTTCAGCAGCTATTTCCAGCCTTAACCAGTAAGGACATGTGCTACTAGAAACTGCAGCTGGTCATTATCATGTTTTAGACTGGTCCAAGAGATAAAATGTCCAGAAGAGATTAAACCCAAGTCAAATAAAAGAGAAAACCCATGAGAATTACACATAAATTTGGAGATAGGGACGTTTTTTCTTTTTGCATACGCCTCACTGAAAAACAAGACTAAATGCAGCAATCTGAAACACCCTGCAAAGACAATAGAGAGCAGCAGAGGAGATGCAGTGATAGCTGAGTGAGAGTTTAGAAATTAAATTTATAGGTAATGAAAGACGAAGAAGCATCAGGATTATTCATGGCTCCTAGTGAGGGACTCAACACTGTCAGGCCATCAGGCATAAATTACTGCTGTTAGTCAGAACTTCTGTCCACACATTTTTAGGTGCAGACAACTGTCTGAATGTCACATAAGTCCTATTGTCAAGCCTTGATGTCTGTATCCATAAAATCAGGGGTGGGGATCATGCCTAAAAGTCACAAGCTGTCCACACTTCTGTCACCTACCACCATGTCCACTTGGAAGCTGCTCTCATCTATTAATATTTATGCTTTCCCCAGTCTGATTGTACGGAATGGATTTTTTTTTTCTTTTCTGATAAAAAAGCCAGAGATCTGGTGGTGATGACCTTTGAGCATTAGCAGCCTTCATTTTTATTCTCATGCTGATGAGGTGTATTTCTATTTCTTAGCTTGAGCATATTGCTCAAGCCCTGGTGCATCTGAGTGACTGCCTTTGTTTGTGCCCTTACAGTCTTTCTCCATAAGGTGTTATGGAAATTCTTTCATTAGCTGCTCCTAAGACTGCAATCCTCTCCTACTCACTCTAATATTAAGGCTTAATGAGAAATACAGATATTTTATTTAATATCAATGACAGCTTGTGCCACTTAGTCATCTCATTTGATGCCTCACCACGTATACACCAAGTTGTGACCGATTGATTCATTCTGTGAAAGGCTGACATCCTAGTAATTTAATGCTTAATTTCTTTCTGTTATTTTGAAAGCAAACTCTCCCCATTATCTAGCAGTACAATATTTTTAAAAACAGGGCTGAAATACTGAATGTTTTCTCAGTGAGCATTTATAGCTTGCTTTCCTAAGGACACCTGTTTTCAGCGGTCATGAAGAGCCACAGATTTTTTTTTCATCATTTTATTCTACAGAGCAGTTCCACTAATTTCAGTACGAGGGAATAAAATACTATCTGATATGGACAGGAATGGAAGAATCTGGACACAGATTTTCAGTTGTCAGCAGGACACCTGATATTGTGAAATACACTGTTGTCTTCCTGGATGGGTTACAGGTGCTGAAGTACAGTGAGATCCAAGGAAAAA